TTTCACAATGATAGCCAGACCCGGAATGACCCCTGACCCCCTGGGAAAGTGCCCCAGCTGTCAGAACAAGGTAAAGGATGTCTGGTCACAACTACCTGTTATCTGGGAGAAGTCTCCTCACCTTAGCTGGCCTGTGTGTGAAGGTGTGACTAGGATTTGGCATATTGTGTGACAGTCTGTCAAATCCTGTACTAGTCCCATTTGTTAGTCTGCTCAGCATGGGCCACCTCTAGTGTGCTTTCTCAGGGATACACAATTCTATGACCATTATTTTGGATGTCAGGAGATAAACGGTACTCCAGCACATTTCTGTGAGGCACTCTTATAAAAAGACACTTTAAGATCACCGCCCTGCCCTGGCCAGTTTGGCTCAGTGGTAAAGCGTCAGCCCGTGAACCAGTGAGTTGAGGGTTCGATTCTGGCCAAAGGCATGTACCTTGGTTGCGGTTCAGTCCCTGGCCCTGGTTGGGTCGTGGGGGAGGCAACCAGTCAATGGTTCCTTCTCACGTCGATGTTTCTCTTTCCCCCTTTCTCTCCCTCCCACTCTGTCTGAAGATAAATAGAAAAAAAATAAATAAATAAAAACCAAAATTAAAAAAAAAAGATAACTGCCTTGAATTATATCATTTCAAACAGAAGGTCTCTGTGTACTTCTGTTTCTTTTATATGTTGATGTTTTACCTCCTCCCTCTCTTAGGAAGACACAGTAAATTCTCAGTAGTCTTAAAAATGGAGCACTAAGTTCAGAATAACTCCATTTTTTATTTATCAAGAAGCAGAATAAGAAGATAGGGACCAAAAGAAGTTTGCGAGAATTAGAGAAGGAAGGATGTATGCATTCCTTCTCCTCTAGCCCCCACCAAACTCGTGCCATCTCTTCTAGAAGCTTCTCTCTCCCCTCAACCAACAGAAGGGGCAGAACTGCGGTCTCTTCTGTGGATACAGGACTCATCTGGTAAAACCCAAGTACTGTGACATTTTGAGGAAAAGATGTAGGTCATCATTTATTTTTTCTAAATTGTACAGAAAAGGTAGCAAAAATAATCATCTGCTGAAGGGAGCATTTGTGGGGAAGAAGACCTTCACCTGCCCCATCACCATTACTGCCAGTGAATGGAAACAATAGTAGAAAGCTCCATACAACTCTTGTAACAAGTATAACTGGGAAGAGAACACAGACGATCAGTCCCTGGGAACGAGGGGCACTGTTTACAGGCAGAGCTTTATTCAGCCCTGGCCGGTTTGGCTCAGCGGTTAGAGCATCGGCCTGTGGTCCAGAGAGACCCGGGTTCGGTTCCCGCTAAGGGCATGTACCTCGGTTGCAGTTGGTCCCAGGCCCTGGTTGGTCGTGTGGGTGGCAGCCACTGGATGTGTCCCTTTCACGGTGATGTTTCTCTCTCTCTCCCTCCCGCTCTATCTGAACAAAAAATGGAAAGGTGTTCTCGGGTGAAGATAAAAAAAACAAAAAAGGCGGAGCTTTAACGTCAGTAGGTGTGTCACACTTACAGGGTGGCAGGTGCCCATTTACTTCTGCTTCACTCTGTGACAGCTGAGATCGTAACATTTCTAAGACTTATCCCAGTGAACTGAGCACTCATAAAACAGTGCCTGGAACATTCTACAATCACCAGTGCGTGCCTCTGGCCCACACCAATGAAGCCAGACTCTGGCAGTGGTGCTTGGGTATTAATATTTTTATTAAAGACCTCAGGTGAGTCTAATGGGTAGCTAGGATTGAGGGCCATTCTCTCTCTTTTTACTTTATTTTTTTATCCTCACCTGAGGACATTTTTTTCCATTTTTTGTTCAGACAGAGTGGGAGGGAGAGCGAGGAAGAGAGAGAGAGAGAGACATCGATGTGAAAGGGACACATCGAGAGGTTGCCATCCGCACGACCCAACCAGGGCCGGGGACAAACTGCAACCGAGGTACGTGCCCTTAGCGGGAACCGAACCTGCGTCTCTCTGGACCTCAGGTCGAAGCTCTAACCGCTGAGCCAAACAGGAGAGGGCCATTCTCTCTTTTTAAAAGATGTTTGTATTGATTTTTTAGAGGGAGAAGAAGGGAGAGGGAGAGAACATCGATCGGCTGCCTCCTGCACGCCCCCTACTTGGGATTGAGCCTGCAACCTGGGCATGTGCCCTGACCAGGAATCGAACCGGGACCTCTCAGTCTGTGGGACGATGCTCAAGCCACTGAGCCACACTGCCTGGGCAAGGACCATACTCCTATGCTGATAATTCACGTGAAACTGGACAGCAAAAGAGGACATAAATAGAGTATTATTGGTTTTCTTAATGTTCTGCTTAGGCTCCTTTTACCTCCTTTGACACTGCTTTTGTTCTGTTTAAATATATCCATGCCACTGTGTCTCCAGCAAATTTTTTTTTCTTGAGAAGAATCCATCAATTCTGAAAATGAAATCCTCAAATAGGACATGCTCTATAGTCTAGGACTTTCCAGTGATTTAATTATCTAATTACTAGAGCCGGCTGCCAAGCACAAAAGATTTCATTCAGTTTCACTATCTTATAACACAGTTCAAAGAACATTTGAATTTCTAATTCAATTTTTGTTCTTCTGAGACTATTCTACAGAGTTTCATGTACCTCTAATGATACTCCATTATAGGACTTATCATCACTCTGGGGTTGTACTTCAGCTGTGGAGTATATAACACATACGCCGAAGGAGAACTGTGCTGAGAAGGCTGAATTATTCTGAACTCTTTGTGTCTTACGGAGACTCCCCTGACCGAAAGACGGAGGTCTCATGGGAAGGAAAGCCGACGGAGACACAGAAGATACGAAGACCGAGGTAGAAGCAACAGCAGCCAGTTTGGGAGACAAGGTGCTTATCTTTCCTCTTGTGTCTGCTCTTTAGAACTGCAAACACTTCTAAGCTCAAGAGCCTGTCTGCTCACTGTTCTTTACCCCCCTAAAGCCAGAAACGCCGAGCAGTTCTGGACAGTAAAGGAACGTGTGTGGTTAAGACAGCATTCCCAGACCCTGACTGGAGAGCTGCTTTTGTTTGAGAAGCTAGGATTCCGCAACTGAACCTCCACAGTTCAAGGGTTGCAAGGAGTGGCAAGTTGTGGGAGACTCCTCCCAGCCACCAGCAGGGTGATATCAGCCACAGGCATCACAACCTTGGTATCAAATTCGCCACGCTTCAGCGATGTTCACGCTACAGCGATTGCACCCCTGCCCTCAACCCAACAAATGTTCATTTTTGAAAGCAGTAGGCACTACCATACAAAGGATACATTTAGGGATTTTTTTCCTTGAGTGTCCACTGAGGAGCAACAATTTCCACACGGCCACCAGGTAGTGCTACGAGGCAGGAGCAGTGTGGGAAAGGGCTTGCCCTCCTAAACCCCAGGTAAGAATCTGGGAGGGGACAGGCCCTCTCTGTCCTGCACATGTGTTGTCTGGCTTGCAGACTACTAAATAATTGGCTGTTAGTTATTTTCCAACGTTCTAAAACAGAATACAGATATTTCACATAAAACCCGCATTTCCTGATTCTCTTGAAATGCCGAAACATCTGGGAACACTGACTGTAATACTTTTAGGTTAAGAGCTAGCTGGAATTGAGTGGTGACTGTTCTTTAGAGGGGCCACCTTGCCATTGTCTCTCCTCCACTTCACTTGTTAAGTTACTGCCTGGACACTGCGGGCATTGGACTTTGTCACCCGGCACACACCCTCAGCCCAACCTATACACATCATTTCATCGTAAATTGTAAAGCAAGGAGAAGCTAGTGCAAAGGATGAGGAACTTCACAGATGACATGGTTCAGAAAAGTATTTAAATGAATTTGCATAGGACGTCCACGGTGTCTGGGATGTTGCCTGAGAGACAGAGTCACCTTGGAGACCTGAGCGCTGAGCCATGTTGAATGGTGTGTCACACCTTACAATCCGAGATGGGGCCTCTCCAGCCAGCTGCCTTTCAGGTAGAGAGTTAGGAGAATTCATCTTCTTGGCTTAATGAGGTGATGAAACATGTAAGGCTCATGCGTCTGTACGCTGAAGGGAGAAGGGCTGTGGTCCAAGGCCCTTTCCTTATTGGACTCCCTGGCTACACCCCCTGGCCACTGTGGATGCCACACCTGTGTGACTGCTCTAGGCTCCTGGGCGGGTCTGTCTTTTCCAATGTATGAACTATGAACTCCTCAAAGTGAAGGAGGCTGCATGGCTACAGTCTGAACCAGCTGTCTGTCCTCAATGATCAACTTCCTACCAAAGGCAGGAGGCATGGGGCTGACACACAAAACGGGTACACGACCTCATGAAGAGAGGCACTGCCCCAGCTCCCGAGTACCCGCAACCCAGCGATACATTCTGCTTCGTCAGACTGATGGGCTGGCTTGCCACTTCGTGACACAAAGGGTCACTTTCCCTCCCTTTTGGCTCCCGTGTCGTGCATCTATTCCTTAACAGTGGAAAAGGGTTAAGGAAAAGACTATGGAACACACTATCCAGCTAGAATGCAGATGTTTTTCTCAACAGAATCATCCATGATGACTTCTTTTCCTTATGAATGAATCATCTAGTTTAAACTCGTATTTCTAAATACATCGTTGTTCCTGGTAAAAAACAAAAGCTTCCTTGACTGTCTCAGCACTGTGCCTGCTCCAGGGGGAGAAGCCGGAGCTCAAACACTGACAGGAAGTCTGAACCGGCTGCCAGTATGCTCCACGGGCTGCTTTGCTCTCAGCGCTCCTCGGAAGAACAGGTGTTCACTGGGTTTTCCCGGGTGAAAGCTCGCACGGCTCGGCTCGTATGGGCGCAGTGGGAGGATCTACACCCATTTCAGTGCGTGAGGGAGGGAACCTGCCTTCAGGTTCTGCTCTCCAGGCCCTGGGTTCACCCTCAGGAAAGGACGCTGGAGGGAACCCTGGGGGGTGCGGTGGGGCTAGGGGTGTGGGAGGAGGGCCAAGCCGACTTCGGGCAGATAAGACAGAGGGTACTGTCCACAAAGAACACCGTCTGTACCTGGAGCTGTCGCATCTGCTGCAGCTGGAGCCTGAGTTCGGCCACACTCCGCCTCATGTCCAGCAGGCTCAGGTGGACGGCCGAGGTGCCGGCGGGCAGGGGCTGGCTGGGCGGCCCCGTGGACTCCAGGGCGCCGAGAGTCTTCCCGCCCGGAACGTGGGGAGTTCCTAGGAGAAAAGAGCAGCAAGGAGCCTGAGAAAGCCAGACAGGAAAATGTAAGTCAAGTCCCACCCCGACAGAGATGACCCAGTAACTTTAAGAATGCCCATGTCCTTCATTGTGGCAAAAAAATTATGCTGGTTTTCTTTTATTATTATTTTTCTTTATTGATTTTAGAGAGAGAAGAAGGGAGAGGGAGAGATAGAAACATCGATGAGAGAGAACATCTATTGGCCGCCTCCTGCCTGCTCCCACTGGGGATTGGGCCCACAACCTGGGCATGTGCCCTGACCGGGAATTAAACTGGCGACCTCTTGGTGCATGGGTCAATGCTCAACCACTGAGCCACACCAGCTGGACTATGTTGGTTTTCTAACTGGTAAAAGATAAATTAAATTTAAATAAATTGTGAGAACTTCCTGCAACATTTCAGTCTGTAAACATGTGCTAGAAGGTCAGGGCCAAAGGCAGGAGATAAGGGCAGGAGGAAAAGCATGACGCCATTTAAGGAAGCAGTCTGTCTGTCTGTCTGTCTAGTATCTTCTTTATATGTATCAGGTTTGCACAGAGAAAAGATTAGACGTTTCTGTAACAAAGTATTAACAGTATCTCTGCCTGTTGGTACTCATGAATTTTATATTTTTTATATGATTACTTTTCCTAGTTTTAAATCTGCATAGTGAATATCTGTAATTTTATAACAAAAATAATTTTAAGATTCTGGGACCTAACCCAGGGTGCTTCCATAACTATTTCCTGCAGGCAGTACCCCAAAATCATGCAGAGGTTCTGAGCAGAGACTGGGCCGATCACAAAGGGAAAACTAATAAGAACTGTGTTTCTTCTGATCTTTTCATCTTTGCAGACCTAAAGCAGCCCAGGACCTCTGCTCCATCTCCTTTAGTGAAAAAAATCAGGCCTGACGTGAACATTCTTTAGGAGGGGAATCTAGGCAGCAGACAAAAACTCTTCCTAATCAGTTTCTAGCTGCCATAAGCTTGGTCTCCTTGAGTCCCACTTAAACAAACCTCAGTCATTTTGTAAGTTCATCTGGGAAAAGGCCTGATTTGACCAAATTTGCTTTAAAAAGGCCTGAAAGAGGATCCCAAGTAGCACTTATAGGCTTGATGAGCAAAGAACAGAAATCAAAAGTGTAATTTCTTTTTTGTTAGGACAATGTAGTTCTATGGAACAGGCCACCAGAGTAAAATCCTCAACACACACACACACACACACACACACACACACACACAAAATTCTGAAGAGGCTGTTAAATTCTTTCCTGTAAAGGGCAAAGTGGAGGGTGTGCAATGGGCCGGATGGGCCTGGCACCACAGAACCCTGTTGCTGCTTGCGTACCCTGGAGTGGTTATAGCCCGGTGGTCTCTCTTCCCACCTCGGCTCAGCACCCATGGGAACCTTTCCTTTCCCAGCACACACAGGGCTACAGGTGCAGTGCTAGTGAGCAAGGGAGCGTGTCACAACTGTCCTCTTAATGCTTGGCCTCAGCAACACCAGCGGAGAGCTGACGGCATACCACTCTCCTCACCCTGATAGATCCGGTCTCCTGGCTTCTCCTGGGCCCCTCGGGGAAGGCAGGGGAGAGACCAGAAAGCATTTTAAGGATGTCCAAAGGAACCCAGCAGAGCAGACAGTGAATTTTCTTATTTTATGAGCCTAACAAGCCACTACCATCACCACTGTGGCTCTGATCAACTTTTGGCAATCTCCCTGCCCCCAAGTCAAAAGCACCCTCATAGAAGCAAGATTTGCCATATCTGTAATTGTTCCAGTGAAGAGTCTCCAACGGTGAAGGGTTTCAGTAAGAGGACATCCAGTAACATTTCCAATAACAGCAGCATGTCAGAATTAACAGCACCTTCAAGATCAAGTATTCTGAGGGAGTCACAATGAATAGGAAGTTTTTCTTTTAGACTTGGTCGAGTTACGTTATTATCACTCAATCCCTCCTTCTCTTTACATTCTGAGGGCAGCAGGACACCTCACTGACCTCCTGTGTGGAGGAGAGGCCGAATCTCCATGCCACCGGTTAAAATTGAATGCTGATAACTGGTTTAAAAAATATCTTTCACCAAAAAAATTTCTTTATGGAATCTATACTCATTTCTAAAAATTTCTTCATCTATAATCTTTTTTTTTTTTTTTTTGGTATGTGCCCTTAGCGGGAACTGAAACCCAGGACTCTCTGGTCCACAGGCCAACGCTCCAACCGCTAAGCCAAACCAGCCAGGGCCATCTGTAATCTTTTAATCCACTAAATTTGGTTTCTAATCCATCAGTCACTGAAACAGCTCTTTAGAAGGTGAGCAACAGTCAGTTGTCTACCTAGTAGACATCGCCTCGGTGTGACGCTGGGCTCTGTTAGCAACTTCTTTCCTTTTAGTCAATTTGAACTTTCCTGTCCCTCATCTTCTTACCTCTCTGCTACTTCCTCTTGGTCAATCTCCTTCCTAATTTCTGCCTTGGCCAACTTTAAAAATTCTGGTCTGTTCTCTCACCGGACATGCTTTCCAGGGACGTCACTTCCACCACCACCACCTGCCCAGGCCCCTTGCGTCTTTGTCTCCGGCAAACAATTCTCTTTAGATCCACATACCAGTACCTTCATGTTGCTACAGAACTATTCATCTTCCCAGACCTCTTTTTGTCTCTGTAGGTCTGTTCTTAGCCAGCGGCACTATGACATACTCAATTATTTAAATCAGAAACCTGGAAATCATTCTCAGTATCCACTTCCTAGCTGGGTGACCTTGGCAGAATAACTTAACCTCTCTCACTCTCAGTTTCCTCACCTGCAAAATGGACGTAAGGGTTATTGTGTGAGATAATGAAATTAACACATGTAGACTGCTTAGCCTGGTGTCTGGCACAGAGGGATCCCCCCCCCCCCCCGCCCCGGCAATCAATCAGCTGTGATGATTTCTCTGAGCAGAGTAGGCAGGAGGAGCTTCTGCCAGCCTCCCCTCCTCACCTGGAATGTCAGCAGGCGCAGAAAGCTGGGGGTGGCAGCAATAGGCTGAGATCTATAGGCAAGTGCCCTGAAATCCATGCATGGAGCTGGATCTGCTGGGTAGGGACGCCAAGTGATAAACAATTTCCCCTTCAGATTAGGTTCATAGGACCTGAGATCTGCTCTCCACACCCAAAAGCAGGTGGTCACATTCTGTGGCCAACATGCACAAATGAAAAAGGAGAATCATTGTGTGGTTTGTCCTCAGAAACACTCCTTTCTGTGCACTTCACCCTTGCCAGGTAATGGCCTCTCTTTCTCCCACCAAATCACTGCTAGGTAATTCACTTCAGTCAAGTACATCTCACTGTAAAATTTATTACATGCAAATATGATGCAAATTTAATGTATCCTGTTGTGACAGAGCATGGGTTTGGGGGTTGGCAAGAATGGCTATGACTCTTACTAGCTGTGTGGCTAACATCTCCCTTACAGGGTTATGCATGTTAAATTATATAACACACAGTATAAAATACATAGTAAGCCTTTGAAATGGGAGGTTCCCTCTGCTCTCTTATATCCACAGAGTCAAATATTCCTAAAGTTACAGGAAGTCTGGGTTTTCCTTTTCATTTACTCTTGAACAAATGAGCTCCTTGACCTCTGTATAATTCCATGTACTTGTCTACAGAACAGGCATAATAATTCTTGTCTTATAGCTTACTTCCTAGGGTTCTGGAAGACTTAATATATTTTGTGCACTCTACAAGGCTGCTATGGCAACGAAAGCCCTGTGGACCACATCTAGCCCTGACACACTGGAGTGAGAAAGACCAAACTCAGCAGAGATGCGGGGGAGCAGACACACATGCCTGTTGCCGGTGGCATTGCAAATTGGCTCAGCTTTTCAGAAGAGAACACTGGCAGGGTGTTGCCAGAGATACTTAACTGTTCGTCCCTTTGGACTTATTGATTCCACTTTGGGAAATACATCCCAAGGAAATTGCACCTGCTCCTTCTCCCATGCTCCAAAAAAAAAAAAGACACACACAAAATTATTCAAAACAAAGAAATGAAAAACCTATGTATCTTTAAAGGGACTGGGGCACCTTAACACAGAAATATGAGAAAAAAAATGACAGGCGGGTGGACCATGGGGATGTGTCACATTGTGGAAGTGTGTTCAGTCTTCTACTCTGGAATATGGAGCAGCGAGGATGTGCCAGGAGTTCGTGAGTTCATGTGTGAAGAGCACCCAGAACAGTGCCTGGCACACTGGAAACACTCATTAAATGTTTCTCATTACGATGACATGATGATGTCACCAAAAGTGAAAGGAATAAAAGGAGAATACAAAGCAGCGTGTATATATTGATTAGATCAATGATGTCAGATACTAATCACTTCTGGATGAGAATCCAGAGGAATGGAAGGCTCAGTGCTCAGTGGTTTCCTTCTGTTCCCTCCAACTTTCCTGAGATATAACTGACGTGTACCATTGGGGAACTGTAACGTGAAGAGCATGTCGATTTGATACTTAAATACTGCACTGTGGTTACTACTGTGGTGTTAGCCAAGACACCCATAATGTCACATAATCACCTTTCCTTCTCATTGTGAGAACATGTAAGATCTACTCTCTTGACAACTTTCAAGTATAGAGTTGAGTTTTTTTTAATTAAATTTATTGGGGTGACATCAGTTAATAAGATTATATAAGTTTCAGGTGTATAATTCTATAATACATCATCTGTATATTGTATTGTGTGTTCATCACCCCAAATCAAGTCTCCTTCCATCACCATTTATCCCTCCTTTACTCTTTCTCCCTCCCCCACTCCCCATTCCTGTGGAAATCACCATACTGTTGTCTGTGTCTGTGAGTTGTTTTTTTCCTTAATCTCTTCACATTTTTCACCCAGCACCACAAACTCCCTCCACACACCACCCCCCAGCTACCAGTCTATTCTCTGTATCTATGAGTTTGATTCTATTTTGTTTGTTAGTTTACCTTGTTCATTAGTTTCCACCTATAAGTGAGAACATATGGTATTTGTCTTTCTCTGACATATCATTATCTACAACCAGAACATACTCATCTTCCAACTGGAAGTTTGTACTTTTTGACCAACATCTCCCCATTTCCCCATCCTAGTAACCACCATTCTCTCTTCCTATGAGTTCCATAGGTTCCTTTTTTCCCTTAAGTGCATAATAGATCAAAACATAAATGAGTGAATAACTATCTCCGAAACAAACTGGCACTTTCTGGAGACAAGTTCAGTGATTTCCGTGAAAGAACTCTCTGGCTGCAGACAAGCTCACTGATTAAGTTCTAAGTGAGCCGGCAGGTCCGGCGAGGACGGGGAGCTCTGGGGACTGCCCTGCTGGTTTCGCAGCCGCACTGCCTGTGCTTAGCCACGCGGCCAGGACTAGCAGGTCCCCGCTGAAGCCCCAGAAGCTGTCCACCCCACCATGCTACACAACACTCTGTGGCTTCCCCAATTGGGGGTTTCACCCCACTTGCCACATACTTCCTGTGTAATTCAGTAATCGAACATGTCCCTGGTAGTGATGTCTATTTCTAACCCAGGAAGGAAGACCTACTATTCTTCAGAGAAGCCTGCCTTGAGCCTGAAGGATACAATGTACACCAGATACACCTGGGTACTAGGGGAATCCATGTGGAATTTAATTGGGGCCTTTTTTGGGGGAATGCTGACATTTAAAATGCAGGCCCTGGTCCAAGGATAGCTTCTTTCTCGCCTCGATCACTGGTGGCTTCTTATCAGCTTGTCCCTTCTCATCCATTACCACACTGCAGCCGGGCTGAGGTCCTCCCCTGGGGCAGAGCCTTCCAGTAGCTTCACTTTGCACTTGGAATATTCTCTAAATTCCTTACCATGGTGTTTGCACGTGCTTCTCCCCATCCCGGATGGCTCTTCCCTTCCCCCTTCACTTACAGAAGTCCTATTCACCTTTCAGGTCTCAGTTTGTGTCACTCCCTCAGGGAAAAGGTCCTTGGTCAAGGCTAGAACTGTCAGGTGGACATTCATCCTTCACTTTTGCTTCACACTCAACACTCATGTAATCACTTTTCCCCACAGGGCTAGGAGTTCTAGGCAGGCAGCCGTGTCTGAATCATGCTCACCGTCCTTGCCCCGTACCAGGTATGCATATGTTTGTTGCATGTGTGGCCATACAGATGAATAAATGAATGACCAGTAAATGAATGCATGAAGGCTGAAGGGAGAAGACTGACTAGCTCAGGGCCCCTCCCCTGCCCCACCTTAATGCCGGATCTGTAGTTTCAGCGTCATGCAGAGGTGTGATGGTGCAGCGCATTCCGGGAAGCCTCTGAAATCACACCAAGCTGATGACGCAGGGGAAGGTATATAATTCTGCAGCAAGCAGAGCTCACCCAGGGCAGCTGCAGGCCCCCCGGAGTGCCAAGAACACTTACCTGCACTATCGGTGTGGTTCTTACTGGCTGTTTTCATCATTTTCTCACTGAATAAAAGAAAAAGAGAGTCAGCTATACAGTTTCTGAAATGCCTTTTTCTGTGCCCCTCCAGTCATTTTTCTAAGCATGAGCAGCAGATAGTGATGGTATCAAGCAATGAGGGCATTTTAGCATCAGCACCACTGTTGGCCGGGATGGAAAAGGCTTCCCAGATGTGCACGGACACAGCAGGTGGGACACAGCAGGTGGGCACTCAAGACTTTCAGATGATGGCGGGTGGATGGCAGTTGGAGGCTGCGCCGTGGTCCGTGAAGCCACATGCACTGGGAAGCCCGTTTACCCTTCTTGGGCCAAAGTGTTACCTTCGACCAAGAATTACCAGAAGGAAAAAACGAACAAACAAACAAACTATGATTCAGAGAGCTGTAAATATTTTCAGCCTTGAAATGATCACAAGAAAACAAATTTGCATGAATGGATTATCTGAATGATTAGAGAGAAACAGATCGAATTATTCCATTGGTTTGCTTTTAGCTTTTACCTAGATGCATCTTTGCTATTACTGGCAAGGGGCCCTTTAAAAAGCGCAGACTGAACAAGGCCAGTTAAACTGGCAATCTGTTTCTCCATGGCTTGCATCCTCTCTCTGTAAAACAAGAGAATTGTTTATTAAAGTTTTATTAACTTCCAGACTGGTTTGTCTAAGTGACTGATCACCTGACGGTCACAAAAGGTACCACCTAGTAGGCCAGCAAGGTGCACCCTACCCAGCTCAGGGAGAGTGAAGAACCTGCTGAGCTTGAGTTGTGATCAGAGTTTAGTTCTAACGCCAAGATCTCACTGCAAAGACCCTGTGCAAACCTGAGAGGCCCCCTGGGAAATTGAAAGGCGTCTCCCTTGAAAATACTTCAGTTTGCGCTTAGTGTTTGAACCTTTCTGTCCTGCTTTCGCAGTTTTACCACTGGTCCCAGTGGTGTCCTGGGCAGCTGGGGCCCAGTGGCTCGGGCCTCCAAGCTGTACTCCTCAGCTGAGGGGCTGATGACTGCTCTGGTGTAAGTGCTGGGGATGTTTGTGGTATGTGTGGTAAAACTTGTATTATTGTCTGAGAGCAACACCAGCAAATGTCTCTTAAGACCACTGATAAATAGGATTGAAATCAATGTCTGACTTGGGGGTGAATAATGCTCACTCTAATGACCCAGGAAATTTAACAGGGGCAAGCAGAAAAACAAATATCTCTAACAACTTGGTCATCCCAAGACATGAATGAATAATCCCAATTACTGTGCACAGACACTGCACCTATCTGGTCAGGGCTCTAATGCTTCATCACAATTTGTTTGGCTCCCATTTCTGTACCTCAGACAGCGGCAGTTTCACTGAGCTATTACCATTCCTTTTAACACATTATACAAACAACATCACACGTGACCTCCCTCTACCGGCTCAGTGCCGAGGGCATGACACCGTGACTGCATGCAAATTCACTTACGCTTATTTGGGAATTTAGAACAATAAAGGGAGGTAGAGGAGGGTAGTATGAATAGTGTGGGCACCTCGCCTGCTATCTTGACCTGTGAGAAGGTGTCCTAGTGTGAGCTTGAGACAGAGAAGGGACCCCACTCGTCACTGAGGGTCTCAGTCCCACCAACGTCTCATAATGTAAGCAATGGTGATTCCTGTGCTACAAATAGCATATTCGTACATTGTGGCTTTTACATACAAGCCAACTATTTTTGTTGTTGTTAATCCTCACCCAAGGATACTTTTTCCATTGATTTTTGTCCAATTTCTATTCATTATTTTTGTTACAGATGTTTTTCTTTTTTCTTCCCTAGACATCCATTGATTTTTAAAGAATGTGGAGCGGGGGGAGGAGAGAAACATCAGTGTGAGAGAGACACACTGATTGGTTGCCTCCTGCACATACCCTGACTGGGGCAGGGAATTGAACCTGCAACCCAGATACATGCCCTTAATAAGAATTGAACCCAAGACTCTTTGGTGTGGGGGCTGATGCTCTAACCACAGTCACACTGGCCAGGGCACAACCCAACTATTTTATCTAGTACTCAATGGAAAAAAATCATGGTGGTCTGTTCTTTACCTGGGAAACAATAACTGGTTAAATTGGACTTATTGAGAGATGCTATATCTGTATCTTAAACTTTATGGCAATCAAGCAGACTTTCAAGGAGAATTGTGTTCATACACAACATTTTGGCCAGGTGTTCTGCCTTTGGAATATAACCCTTAGTGCCATATAGAACATTGAGCTTAATTTCACAATTACAAGCTTCTGACTTCAGAATTCCGGCCTTTTCTTTAGTTTCAGCTGGATGGTTCTGTCACCACACTGAGCTTCTTGGACAGAAGTCATGCAGCCTAGATAGTGAGAAACAATTTAAGTATGAATAGAACGCTCTCTTTGCTCAATAGAGTAGGAAGGAGAAATCTCAAGCAGCGAGAGTGGAGACACATCTCCATTTCCATGCAGTGCCTTTCCAGGTGTTTCCAGGTGTAGCAGTATATGCTAAACCCCCGAGCTGCAAGCATTTCCAGTCACACCTGCGTTTGGTCTGCTCTCTGCCATAACACAGAGCATGTGCCAAAGAGAAAAATTAGTAAGAAACTCCACACAAGAAAGTGGGTTAGTAAATACCTAGTGGATATCCCAAGTTCATCAGACCCAAGTCACTATTGCATCTCGGAAATGACTGGATGCTGGCTGACGGTGCTGCCTGCCACGTGGGAGACACAGACGCACACAAATGGGCTTTTGGGAAACCAGTGATTTTTAAGGAAGGACCAGCTGACAACCGGGTGGACGCAGTTCAGTGCCCCATTCTTCCCACAGTAATGGTGGACGTCACTCATTCACTCATGACCTCAGAGTCGAGGTGCATTCAGAACTACCTTGAGGCGTACTAGGTTACTGCTCTTATCTAATACCAGGCAAATGGAAAGGATTGCTTTCTTCTACCTTTCTTTAAAAAGCGGCATGACAGTTATAGGGTCTAGACAGCTTTGGTCAGGAAGCAGCTAAATGGGTTCCATGAAGCTGGAGTGTGGGATAGGAAGGCCTGGTCACAACCTAACTACACACAGATGATAGTACTACTAAGAAATGTAAGAAACAGGTAAGTCTACAACTGCAGAGAATAAGTGACAACCGTATAAGGGGGAAACGGCAGAAGGGATTCCAATACTGGCTCTAGGCACAGCCCTGATTAAGGCTAAATCAGTGTTCTTTCTGATCCCACTCTGGCCAACAGCTTTCTTCACCTTGTCTAAGAAAGGAGAGCAGTAGCATTAAAACTAAAACAAAGCAGCAGGATCGCTCCAGACTCAGGACGTTGATCTGTAGCTGATCCATCACCCAGTTAGAATTGCAGTGTCATAGCCCCGGTTGGGTCGTCTCCACATGGGTGTTCATAGGGTGGCATTTCCTTGGCTCAATGGGTACTTGGCTTTTTAAAAAAATCCTCACCCGAGGATATTTTTCCATTTATCTTCAGATAGAGTGGGAGGGAGGGAGAGGGAGAGAGAGAGAGAGAGAGAGAGAAACATCGATGTGAAAGAGACACATTGACTAGTTGCCTCCCACACGACCCCGACCAGGGCTGGGGATGAACTGCAGCCGAGGTCCATGCCCTTGAACCAAGGTCTCCACACCCTTGGTTCTCCTTTTTGTATCTGTGAGGACAGAAGTAAGTGCTCCCTGGGTGCCTCCTCCAGGCTCTGTCACCGCTAGGTCCCCAGGATGGAGACACAATGTCTCAGAGCCTTGAGAGTCCAGAACACTTGAGCTTAACAGTTGAGGGGAGCGATTCTCCCCCACTACCCAGGAAACAGCGGGTCTGGTGCGTGGCCGAGGCCCTGAGCCCATGGCTTGCACACGTGTGTCCCGCTGTCTCCGCCAAAACCACTTTACGAAAATACAGTTCTTTGACACGTGGGAATGAGAAAACTTTTTCCCTCCTATTTAATCATCAAAGTGTTTCTGGTTTCAGGATTCATTTGAGGGAGATTATCTGATTTATAAATTCATAAATAAGATTGTCTTTCCATTTCATGGTTGGTAATCTGGAAACAATTTTATGGTTTAACTAAATTACAGCAACTGGAAACTTATGCTGCCTTTGCCCACGATGAAAAGTTATGAAGTATGTTTAATGTGAAAGGGGAATAAAAGGGAAATACAGTGGAAGGAGAGAAATTATATACGACCTGCCATTTTATTGCAGGGGCAATTGTGTATAATAATTGTCAGAATATTAAAGATGCTTACGCTAATTCTTGCCAATAACGCTTGGTTTAAGGTATTACAGGACTGCTATAATTACTGTTGAAAAGATGGCTTAAAAGTAATTTCATAAACCATTTTCTTTCATTCCATAAACCCTATTTATGGGATTAGTATGTATGGTTAACTAGTCATTTAGCGCTGTAAGTCAGCCTGGATGAATGGATCTTCTCGGGGCCCAAGCACAGTATTAATAAAAATTCAAGTCCAAATCCAGGGAAAGTGCTGATCCCAGTATTTACATTCTTGTTGTTACCATGGGCTTTCCTGCAAGCCCCTGTCTGTCTGTGAAGACAGAGCAAAACCTAGCCTTTGAGCAGAGCAGTGTGCCCTGTCTTCAGGGTAGAGAGAAGAAAAAAAAATTTTGCATCTAAGGGAATAGTGTTTTGTTTTTTTTTAATCCTCACCGGAGGACATTTTTTCATTCTTTATTCAGACAGAGTGGGAGGGAGAGAGAGGAAGAGAGAGAGAGAGAAACATCGACGTGAAAGGGACACATCAAGTAGCTGCCACCCGCACGACCAACCAGGGCCGGGGTCAAACTGCAACCGAGGTACATGCCCTTAGTGGGAACTGAACCCGGGTCTCTCTGGACCGTAGGCCGGCGCTCTAGCCGCTGAGCCAAACCGGCCAGGGTTGAGGGAATACTTTTCTCCAGTAATTCCATTTACACAATTTTTTTGATTCAAGTTTTCACTTTCAAGTTTTTTTTGTTTTTGATTTTTACCATGGACTTGTCTTTGTTCCGACCAAGGCCTCGTTAAGCCTGAATTAAGTCCTTATCATTCCCTATCTGAGTAAATTAATGGCTATTAAAAAACAAGGCAAAGCTGGAACAAGTATGAGACTGGTAATTCCCCTGTAATGAAGCCCTTAGGCCATGTTTTTAAATACCCAAAGCAAGTGCTGGGGAGCTGGCTGCAAGCAGCCCACTGCGAAGGTCGGGTTGGTCTGGCCCGGGAGAGGCATTCACCTTCCTACCCAGTCACTAACTTGGAAACCCAGTGGTGCAGGGTAGCCAGCAACAATGATCGCAGGGCCGGCATCCTGAGAGTACTTTCTAGGTGGTCCAGCAATTCACTTCTAGTTCTAGTATTCTGTGATTTTTTTTGTTTTGTTTTGTTCCTGCTCATTCCCTGTCACCTCCCTCCCCCTGAAAGTGATAACTGGTCAATGAGTCATCAGCAAATGTTTCTGAGCCCTTCAGGTGTGCTCGGCCCAGGGCAAGCTGCTGTGTCCCCAGCAGCACATGGAGCAGCACCACTGAGCAGACCTTCCTTTCACAGAGCCACTTTTTTTTTTTTTTCAGGGAGAAATCTAAGTGAACTAAAACCATGTAG